GTGTCTGTCTACCCCATAGTGTCTGTCTTCTGTGTATTTCACTCCTTCATGGAGAGCTCTGTTTCCATCTGATGTCATGTTCCTTCTGCCAGGAGGATTTCCTTTAACATTTTTTTCCCTGCAGATCTGCTGGTGATAATTCTTTCTGAAAACACCTGTGTTTCCTTTGAACATTTCACATTTTAGCCTGGTCCCTTTTGTTTGTGGTTTTGTATTCAGTTAACCACTCAGCAAGATGCTGGGTGCCTGTTGCGTGCCCAGCACTGTCCTAAGCATTTAGACAGACAGTAGTGATGGAAACACTTACGCTTCATGGAGCTTAAGTTCTGCTCAGGGCAGACAGATAACCTGAGTAGACACGAAGTCAGCAAACAGCGGTAAGAGCTGTGGAGGAGAACGAAGCTGGAGAAGGCATGCGGTGGTGTGGTTGGGGAGCCAGGGCCGTGCTCGGAAGGGCAGGTGGGAAAAGGATGCCACGTGAGCGAAGGCTTGGAGAGGGAGGGGAAACTCAGCTGTAAAAGCCGTGACGTTTGCAATCGCAGTGAGCCCACGGGCCTGCAGTGCAGCAGTGTGCGCGGGTGTGGGGCCGGGAGGAGACCTGAGCTGCTGCAGGCTCTGAGCTGGAAACCACGTGCATGGTGTGACCTAAGGTCTCACCGGCTCACTCTGGCTCCCGCACAGAGGAAACCGTGTGTTGGAGAGGGACCCGGTGAGGGGTAGGAACTGCTTAGCTGGGCCTGTCCGTGGGAAGTGGCAGGACCCCGAGTGTTCTGCGGGGAGCCGTGAGGGTTGGCTGTGGCTGTCAGGGGAGGGAGAAGGACTGAGAATGGCCCCAGGGTTTTGGCCTAAAGAAAGGGAGGGACTGGATTGTGTCTGAGGTGAGGACACTGTGGCCGGCTGTGGCCGGCAGCGGCCTGGCCCAGGGCAGGTGCTCTGTAAGGACCGAGGAATCGGGGAGGGGTCAGAGTTCAGGTTGGGGCCGAGAGGTTCCAGGCGCTGCTGCTCCTTTGCGAGGTGATGCCAAGTGGGCCGTTTGACCTGACAGCTTGGCGGGCAGGGGAGCCATCTGAACTGGGATAGGGACGGCTGTTAGGTACCACTTGGAACATTACAAGATATGCTGGGAAGGATTTAAGTCTTTATAATAGTGTTCCTGTCCAATGAGAGACGTACCTAAAAATGTTCAGAACAGCATTGTCTTAGGAGACCTAGATGGAGAACAAAATATTTGCCAACAAAAAGAAATTGAAGAATAAGATGTGGCACAGTCACAGACTGGTGTCCTGTAGTGATGGCGAAGCAAGCAGAAGAGCATCCTTTGTGTAGCTCCACTCGTGTAAAGAAACCAGCTGTGGTGTTGGACGTCGGGACGGAGGTTGTCGGAGGCGGAGGCAGGGGTCAGGTCTGGCCCTGTGTCCGCATTGCTGGTCCTGAAGTGCTGGCTTTGCCGGCATTCCTTGAGCTGTGCGTTTTTGCTTTGAATACTTTTTGGTGAAAGTGTTAAATTTATTTTTAAAAAAGTTAATTGTCATGTTAATGTTACTCTCAGAGTTGACAGAGCAGACTCTTGTTTTTTTTTTTAAGATTTATTTATTTTTATTTTTATTTATTTATTTATTTATTTTGACAGGCAGAGTTAGAGACAGAGAGAAAGGTCTTCCATCCGATGGTTTACTCTCTAATTTGCAGCAGTGGTCAGCGCTGCGTCGATCCAAAGCCAGGAGCCAGGAGCTTCTTCTGGGTCTCCCACACGGGTGCAGGGGCCCAAGGACTTGGGTCATCTTCTTCTGCTTTCCCAGGCCACAGCAGAGAGCTGTACTGGAAGTGGAGCAGCCAGGTCTTAAACCGGCGCCCGTATGGGATGCTGGCGCTTCAGTCCAGGATGTTAACCCTCTGTGCCACAGTGCCTCCCCCAGACTCTTGCTTGGAGAGCTGTACCTAACCCCAGTGTCCCTCTGGTTCTAAGTGGCCACGACACACTTGAGATGATTCCCTGAAACAGGGCACCGTGAGGGGTCTTCAGCCCTTCACGGAGATGCACATTAAGAAAACCACGGCACAGATTTCAATTTGGTTTTTAGCACCAAAATAAACTTACCTTTTAATTCCATTCTCCTGAACTTTTTGAAGTACCCTACACAAGTAGCCAAGTTCCCAGAGTAACAACCACTGAAGGAGTTAGTGTGGCGCCCAGAAGAACCCCTCTGACATCTATAGTGTTCTTTGCAGTTTAAGTTTGGAGTTTAAAATGAATTAGAGAAAACTCAGTAGGGACTCTTGAATTTAAATACAGCATTAAGGATCTAAACTCCACACATCAGACTATAAGATAGAGCATTCTTTAGTACTAGAATGCAGTAACTTTATAAAAATGTACCAAAATTGGTGGAGCTGACGTTGTACCACAATGAGTTAAGCCACTGCTTGCAATGCCGGCTACCCATGTCAGAACACTGGTCCTAGTCCTGATGCACTTCCAGTCCAGCTCCCTGCCAATGCGCCTGGGAAGGCAGCAGTGATGGCTCAAGTGCTGGGCCCCTGCACCACGCGGGAGACCAGCATAGACTTCCCGGCTACTGGCTTCAGCCTGGCCCCTGCCTGCCTATCAAGGCTATGCAGGGAGTGAACCAGCAGATGGAAGATCTCCCTTCCCTCTCCCCTCTCAGCTCCAGCTCCTGTTCTTGCTCTTGCTACGCCCCCTCTCTCCCTCCTTCTCCCTCCCTCTCCCTCCCTCTCCCTCCCTCTCCTTTTTTTTTTAATTTTTCTATTTGACAGGTAGAATTATAGACAGTGAGAGAGACAGAGACAGAGAGAAAGGTCTTCCTTCCTTTGGTTTACTCCCCAAATGGCCACTACGGCCAGTGCTGCGCCGATCTGAAGCCAGGAGCCAGGTGCTTCTTCCTGGTCTCCCATGCGGGTGCAGGAGCCCAAACACCTGGGCCATCCTCCACTGCCCTCCTGGGCCACAGCAGAGAGCTGGACTGGAAGAGAAGCAACCGGGACTAGAACCCAGCACCCATATGAGAAGCTGGCGCCACAGGCGGAGCATTAACCAAGTGAGCCCTGGCGCCAGCCCCCTCCCTTCCTCTTTCCCTTTCCCATCCTCCTCCTCCCCCCACTTCCCTTTCCCCCATCTCCCCCTGAGCCCCCTAACTCTTCCTGTATCCTTTCTCTCTCTCGCTCACTCTACCTTTCAAATAAATAAATAAATCTTAAAGATAAACTGAACTAAAGTTGAGTATATGTAAATTTAGAATAGTGGTGGGGAACATTTTTTTCTGCCAAGAGTCATTTGGGTATTTATAACATCACTCACAGGCCATACAACATTGTCAACTTAATAATTAACCTGCTATAGATATATTAAATTTCAAGTCCCGCCTGCAGTTGCCTTGGCAAAGCCAGGCAGAGTGTGTCCGTGGGCTTTCATGTGTTCCCCACCCCTGAGAACTTTAAGCATTGAGGGAAGGCTCTCATGTATTTACCAGGATGTTACCCTCACAGTATTCGTGAATGAGGTGAGAGTCACCCCTGTAGTGAGGTCCCTGAAGACCCCATGCATGCCCTGTACCTGTCTGTCGGGGCTTCCCTGATGCCTTGATTGAATTGCCCCAATTCCTCACCATAACTCAGTGGGCTGGAACGACAGAGCACATGTAACAAGGCAGCAATGTATGAGGGTAAACCCAAGGTCTTGCATGCAGGTTCAAGAAAAAGAAGGGCAGTGTAGGATTTGCCAGCATAGATGATGGCCTTTCAAGAGGCTTTACTGATTCCAGAAGGAGCTCTTCAGGAAACTATACCCCTGCCCCAAGATGTCAAGAAGGCGTGGAAAGTAGTTACACTGCACCAAGAGGGTTGTGGGGGTGGTGGCACCACGGCTGTCTGTCTTTGCTTTGTTGAGATTTATTTTATTTATTTGACAGGCAGAGTGACAAAGATGGGGTGTGGGAGAGATCTTCCATCTGCTGGGTCACTTCCCAAATAGCTGCAAAGGTTGGTGCTAGGCCAGGCCAAAGCCAGGAGCCAGGACAGAAACTCCACCCAGGTCTCCCCCGTGGGTAACAGGGTCCAAGTACTTGAGTTATCTGCTGCTGCTTTCCCAGGCACATTTGCAGGGAGCTGCATTGGAAGTGGAGCAGCCAGGACTTGAATCTGACTGCAGTAAGGGAGGTGGGTGTCCCAGGCAGTGGATTAACCCACTGCACTGTAATGCTAGCCCTGTGGCGCCGTGTTGTAGGAGTGACATTGACGAGGAGATGCACTGGGTTTGAGGGGTTATGAAAAGTGGATTGCACAGCTGAAGGCATGGGACCCTGAAGTCTCCCAGGAGCCCTGTGAGACGTTGTCTTTGTTTTACAGAAAGGAAGTAAGACAAAGAGGGGATATGTGATTTAGCAAACTGTGACGAAGAGTGGTGGACTAAGGACTCACAGCTCCTGATTCTTAGGCTGGTGCTCATTTTTTTAGCGTAAGCAGAGGACTAAGCTGTGTTGGCAAAGCAAAAGCGCACACTCAGAGGGCGTGAGCCGCAGTCCACAGGCCTGGGGTTGCCCTCCTGTGATCTGGAAGCGCAGGGGGTGGTGCTTTGGGTGGAGTTTTCCGGGAAAGGGTGGGGGTTTCCAGGAATGTGGTGTTTGCCCAGTTTCTGACCTGTCAAGGACGTCTTGGAGGTGTCATGGCCTCAGGTGCATGATGGAAGTAGGACTGTCAGTTGTGGCCATTTTATTATGATAATATAATAGGCTATAAGTCATCCCAGGATAATGTTACTTTTTTGTTTCAAAATACTGGTTTTTGGTTTTGTTTTTAAAAAGCCTGGCTGCTGTTTTATATATATATAAACTTCACACTCTGAGTGAATTGTTGCAGATTAAATGGAAGGAAAAGTAACTATCAGGGCAGGAAACTCACTATGATAAAGTAGTTTGGCTTTCAATATTATGCATTTTTGAGTATTACAGAAATATGTTGTATTTTATGTATTTTTCTCTTTGAAGGTTTTTGATTCCAATGAAGAATCCGGATATCTTGTTCTCACCATAGTTATATCGGGTCATTTCTTCATCTCACAAGGGCAGACGCTACTGGTAAGCTTGATGCAAACAGTTTGTCATGAATGTGTGTTTCCAACCTCCTTAGCTTCACATCACTTTTGGTATCGAGTTTCTTCAGCCTCACTGAAAGCCGTCAAGTTCGACGGACTCAGCGTTTGTCAGATGTGCTGCGGCAGTGGGGCCGCAGGAACATACTGAACGTTGCCACCCTGCAGGAGCTGAGGGTTTTGCTGAGCGTCCAAGTGGATCCAAGGGTTGTGATGAACCAGTGTAATAAAGGATTCTTTTTATAAAAGATTATTTATTTATTTATTTTAAAGTATAGGGTTTGAGAGAGAAAGTGAGCTTCTATCTGCTGGCTCACTCCCCAAATGGCTGCAACAACCAGGGCTGGGCAAGTCAAAGCCAGGAGCCAGAAGCTCCATCCAGTCTCCCACACAGGTGGCAGGGGCCCAGGCCCTTGGACCGTCATGACTGCTGCCTTCCCAGGCGGATTAGCAGAGAGCTGGATAGAAAGCAGAGCAGCCAGGACTCGAGTCAGTGCTCTGATACGGGTGTGGACGTCACAGGCGGCAGCTTAACCCCCTATGTCACAACACCAGCTCCTGATAAAGAATTCCTTGGGGAAAAAAAAAAGAGTTATTGATTTATTTGAAAGACAGACTCTTTCACTAATGATTTGTTACCCAATTGGCTGCAACAGCTAGGGCTGGACCAGGCTGGAGCCAGGAGTCAGGAACTCCATCCGGTTCCCATATGGGTGTCCGGCACCCAAGTACTTGAGCTGTCTTCACTGCCTTCGCAGGTGCATTAGTAGGGAGCTGAATCAGAAGCAGAACGGCCAGGACTCAAACCAGTACTGTGATATGGGATGCAGGTGTTGGAAGCGGCAGTGTAGCGTGTTATGTCAGGATGCTGGCCCTTCTTCTGTTTCTTTTTTTAAAAGATGTATTAATTTGAAAGGCAGAGTGACAGAGAAGAAGAGAGACTCGTCTTCTGACATGGGATCCAGCATTGCAGGTGGCAGCTTGACCCACCAGGCCACAACACCAGCCCAATAAAGAGTTCTTCACTGGGAGACTGCGGTGAAGACAGGCCCGTAGGGAAGAGTGAGAGTGGGGGGTTTCCCGGGAGGGAAAGCAGCCCAGGCGGAGGGGCCTGTCTGAGGAGGGAGCTACCAGAAGCCCAACACCTGAACTTCACTGAGGGAGCCCCCGCGAGACTCTCATTTTATAGAAATGCATTTGTTCTTGCGCTGAATACATCGACAGAGTTTTAGGAGATGTAGGCATGAAGAAACACAGCAAAAAGTAATAATCCCGATGCTTGAAGGCTAGGCCTTATTTGGTGAAGTAGAAATAAAATGAAGGATGCGACAAGCCAATTATTAACTTCCAATCAAAGAAATTATGCAAGAAAGGAAATGGAACGGAAGATTATTGCATCATTTAACTGGCGGTAATGTCTGTGTGGATGCGATAAGTTCACGGAACAAATATTTACTGAATACTCATTTAGCAGATATTTATTGAGCCATCATTACATGTGGGGCTGTTCGGGGTCAGGGTGCTAGGGGTCCAGCAGTGAACCGCAAAGGTAAGAATCCGTGTCATCATCTGGCAGGGTCAGATCCGTCAGATCTGTTCAGAGGCGCCGTCGTTGGTGAATCTGCACGCATGTTCTGTAGTGATGCGTATGTCATGCATGGTCTGTTAGTGATGCGTGTGTCATGCATGTTCTGTTAGTGATGTGTGTGTCATGCATGTTCTGTAGTGATGCGTATGTCATGCATGTTCTGTAGTGATGCGTGTGTCATGCGTGTTCTGTTAGTGATGCGTATGTCATGCATGGTCTGTTAGCGATGCGTGTGTCATGCATGGTCTGTTAGCGATGCGTATGTCATGCGTGTTCTGTTAGTGATGCGTGTGTCATGCATGTTCTGTTAGTGATGCGTGTGTCATGCGTGTTCTGTTAGTGATGCATGTGTCATGCGTGTTCTGTTAGTGATGCGTATGCCATGCATGGTCTGTTAATGATGCGTATGTCGTGCGTATACTGTCAGTGAAACAGCCCTGTGGTTGAGTGAGATGCAGACGTCGCGCTGTGGCATCTGGGTCCGTGGCGGGAGCATGCGTCTCTGCCCTCTATGCCACCATGCGGCCTGTGTTGCTTGGAAGACGTTCGGTTTCCTCAGCTGCTGCAGCAGGGGCCCCAGTGGCTGGCTGAGGGACGCCCACAGCTGAGCCCTGCGCCTCTGCTGACTGGCGAGGGGCACCCTGTGCTTGGTCTCTGCTTTTGCACCTGCGATCCACGTGGTGACAGTGCTAGGGAGAGCCGAGTTTACCCTCTCCGGAGGAATGTGGAGGGCGCCCCAGCTCCACGAAGCACCAGGAAGCTCCTGGTGCAGAAAGTGTTTGAAATTCCTGCAGGGCTTTTCCCCAGTCAGCGTTTTTGTGAGCTCTTTCATATGTGTAGTTTTCAAAAGATTTTTGGATAAAAATAAGTTTACCTTTTTTCCAAGATTTATTTGAAAGGGACAGTTGTGGAAAGAGAGATCCTCCATCCACTGGTTCACTCCCCAAATGGCTGCAAGGCCAGGGCAGGGCCAGACCGAAGCCAGGAGCTTCATCTGACTCTCCCACACTGGCAGCAGGGGCCTAGACACTTGGGCCATCTTCTGTTGCTTCTCCCAGGCCATTAGCAGGGAGCTGGATTGGAAGTGGAGCAGGTTGGATTTGAACTGGCACCCATATGGGATGCCAGCGCTGCAGATGTGGTTTAACCCACTGCACTGCAGTACCAGCTGCCCCCTTAAGTTTATCTTTTAATTCCATTTTCTATGAGCTTTTTGAAATGCCCTGTGTACAGGGATGGTGCTGTGGCATAGAGGGTAAAGCCACTGCCTGCAGTACCAGCATCGCATATGGGCGCTGGTTAGAGTCCCAGCTGCTCCACTTTGAATCCAGCTCTCTGTTGTGGCCTGGGAAAGCAGTAGAAGATGGTCCAAGTGCTTGGGCCCCTGCACCCATGTGGGAGACCCAGATGAAGCTCTTGGCTCCTGGCTTCAGACTGGCGCAACTGTGGCTGTTGTGGCCATTTGGGGAGTGAACCAGCGGAAGGAAGATCTCTCTCTCTCTCTCTGCCTCTGCGTCTCTGTTAACTGTGCCTTTCAAATAAATAAGTAAATCTTTAAAAAACAAAACCAAACCCTGTGTGCATATATAATTTAGATATTGACTATTATTTTTTCAAAAATCTTTAAATCTCCTTTTGAATCTAATTTGAGAGGCAGAGAGACACAGTTCCCATCCACTGAGGCACTCCCCAAATGCAGGGCAGGGCTGCAGAAGGTCTTGGACGTGGGTGGCAGGGACTCAGTCACTTGAGCCATCACCACTGCCTCACGTGGTGTGGGTTAGCAGGGAGTTGGAGTCAGGAGCAGGAGCTGGGTATCGAACCCAGGCCCTCTGATGTGGGATGTGGGTGTCTTGCCTGCTACGCCAGATGCCTGCCCCTAAAGCTCTTTCTTGAAAGTCACTCTTCTTGAGGGGTGACTTACCTAAGATGAAATTCTCTGTGAGTGTTCAGTTTGATGGCTTCTCAGGTGGGTGCAGTCCCGTGGCCACTGCTCAGATCAGGAACAGACATTTCAGGTAGCCGAGAATTTCCCTGTGTGCCTTTGTAGTCAGCCCCCTGCCCACCCGCAGCGCCTGGCAACCATCCACCCACTTCCTGTCATATTAGCTCTGTCGTTTCTCTTGTAATGGTTAATTTCTCATGATTTGTTTAAATTGACGGATGAGATGGTGTGTTTTTGTGCTCTACAGCATTTTGTTTTGAAGTGTGCATACGTTGTGGAGGCACTAAGTCTAGCTACGCCACATGTGTGCTTCCTCAGTGTGGTTTTGCCTTTTCTAGAATTTCACGTAATGGAATCACGGGATACACAGTCTTTCGTGTCTGAGCTTCCCGTAGCGTTGTGTCTTTGAGATTTGTTGGCGTTGTGCGTTACCAGTGGTTCCTTCCTTTTCACGAGGGAATGGTGTTGCTTTGTGTGGATAGACCTCATCTGTTATCTGCTCAACTTTGGAAGGACATGTGGGCACTGGCAGTTTTGGGTTTTTATGTGTAACGCTGGTAACATTTGTACTCAAGTCTTTCATGCCTAGCACTTTAACGTTTATATGCAAGTCTTGGTGTGGGCCTGTTTGCATTTGTTTGGAAGAAGCCCAAGAAGGGAAGCACTGGACCCTCTGATACACGTGTTGAACTGTATAAGAAACAGCAAAGCTCTGTTCCGAATGTGGGCCCCTGTGTTCCATGGCCTCACCTGCCAGTCTTCTTAATTCTTGTTTCTTTTAAAAGATTTATTTATTTGAGAAGTAGAGTTAGAGACAGAGAGAGAGGGTTTTTCCATCTGCTGGTTCACTCCCCAAAGGGCCGCACAGCTAGAGCTGGGCTGATCTGAAACCAGGAGCTTCATGTGGGTCTTCCATATGGGTGCAGCGGCCCAAGAACTTGGGCCATCTTCCACTGCCTTCCCAGGCCATTAAGAGAGCTGGATTAGAAGAGGAGCAGCCCTGGCATGAACCAACGACCACATAGGATGCAGACAGAGGCTTAGCCTGTTATGCCACAGCGCTAGCCCCAACCTGCCAGTCTTTAATTGTAACCATGTCAGCGTGGGTGTGTGGCCAGATCACGTGTTGGCTTTGATTGTCACTTCCTAATGACTAAGGATGTGGGCATCTTTTCCCGTGTTTGCCACTTGTTTGCCTCATCGGTTCAGTGTTCATGGTGTCTAACCATTTTGGATGGACTTGTTTGCCTTCCTATGCTTGGAATGTAGAAGCGCCTACTCTGGGTAGAACTCTTTTTGTCACAGGAGTGTTCTGAAAGTATTTCTCGCCGGCGCCGCAGCTCACTAGGCTAATCCTCCGCCTTGCGGCGCCGGCACACCGGGTTCTAGTCCCGGTCGGGGTGCCGGATTCTGTCCTGGTTGCCCCTCTTCCAGGCCAGCTCTCTGCTGTGGC